TCATAGCTAATCAGGAGGCTGAGATCTGAGGATCAAAGCCAGGATGAGAAAGTCTGCGAGACTCTTATCTCCATTTAACCTCCAAAAGCTGTAAGTGTCCAAAGTGGTAGGGTACCAGCCTTAAGCCAAAAAGCTATAGGACAGACCAAGGCCTGAGTTCAAGCCTAGCAACTGAACACACACACACACACACACACACACACACACCAGGAAGCTAAGTGCCAGCTGCATGACACACTCCATCCAGAAAGGAAAAGCCTCCCTACACAGAGAATAAAGGACTCTGGAGATGCTAATAAACTTCTGGAAGGACATTTGGATTCAACATTGACTCCTTTCCCTCTTCCATCTGTAAGATGCTTTTGCTGGATCTTGTGAACTAACTAAAAGTCCCACAACTATATCTGTATCCTTTTTGTTATTAGTGGTGGTGGTTGTGAGCCTTAAACTCAGAGCCTGGGCATTTTCCGGAGCATTTTTTTTTGTTTTATTTTATTTTGTTTTTGTTGGTCAGGGGGCTTGAACTCTGGGCCTGAGCACTGTCCCTCAGCTCTTCAGCTCAAGGCTAGCGCTCTACCACTTGAGCCACAGTGCCACTTCCAGTTTTTCTGCCCCAGCTGGCTTTGAACCTCGATCCTCAGATCTCAGGCCTCCTGAGTAGCTAGGATTACAGGCATGAGCCACCAGCGCCCAGCTCACTGAGCATTTTTGTTCAAGGCTAGCTCTCTACTACTTGGAGCCACAGCCCCACTTCTGGTTTTCTAGCAGTTGATTGGAGATAATTCTCATAGTCTGATTTTGAACCTTGATCCTCAGATCACCTCCTTAGTAGCTAGCATTACAAGTATGAGCCACCAGTGCCTGGCTTTATCTGTGTCCTTTGATCTGGGCTATTTTCTTCTATAGTCCTTTTGCAATAACCTGTTTGCAAGAGGAAAGAGAAGATTCAGTGATAAGCATCATTTTGATGCTCTCATTTTGCTCTCAAGAAATTTTTTTTCTTTTTTTTTTTTGAGAACACTAGCTGCATAATAGTCCAGCAAGTGAGTTCTATAGAATCTTCACATAAATCACAAGATTTTATTTTATTTTTTTTTATTTTTGGGTCCGGTTGTAAGGCCTGAACTCTGGGCCTGGGCGTTGTCCCTCAGCTCTTCAGCTCAAGGCTAGCACTCTACCACTTGAGCCACAGCGCCACTTCCGGCTTTTTTCTTTTTGCTTATGTGGTGCTGAGGAATCGAACCCAGGGCCTCATGCATGCAAGGCTAGCCTCTACCACTGAGTCACCTTCCCAGCCCCAAATCACAAGATTTTAATACTAAATTATATTAGGTTAACTTCCAAAACTATTTTTTGTGCTTTAAAATTTCTAATATCTTGGGCTGGAAATGAGCCTTAGTTAGTAGAGTGCTTGCCTAGCAAGCATGAAGCCCTGGGTTCGTTCCTCAGTACCACATAAACAAAAAAGGTTGGAAGTGGCACTGTGGTTCAAGTGGTAGAGTGCTACCTGAGCACATAATGGCTTAGGGACAGAGACCAGGCCTTGAGTTCATACCTCAGAACTGGTAAAAAAAATAAATAAATAAATAAATAAAAACTGTAATACCTGTAATTCTATTTCAAGTTCATTTTTACCTTGAAGGTTCTTTTTTTATTTTTATTTATTTTTTTTATTGTGAAAATACTGTACAGAGGGGTTTCAATTACATGGGCAAGATAATGAGTACATTTCTTATCAAGCATTGTAGCCTACTCCTTTGTTTCCCCTTCCCATCCCTTCCCTTTTCCCCGTCCCCCCCCCACCAAAATTGTAAAGTTCGTTTTAGACATAACGACTTGTACTTATTGTTGCAACGGGTCCACCTGTATCCTTATTTAAACGAACCTTGAAGGTTCTTACCCACATTAAAGTTTATTTTACTTTATTTTGTTTTAGTAAGTAGTTATACAAAGAGGTTTCAATTCCATGAGTCAGGATAAGAGTATAATGCATCTTGATATATCAGCCCTTCCATCCTTCTCCCCCAACTTTCAAGCAATGTCTTCTTTATATCATCTTAAAGCAAACAGGCAGAACCTCAGAAGAATTGTTCTTGTTCTGTTTCAGTAATTAATACCAGCCTTTCTAGAACTCCTCCAAAGACAAAGACTGAATGAATGATGTGGCTCAAGTTGTAAGGTCTGCTCTGAGAAGTCAAAGCAGACTCCTCCCTCCTCTTGGCTAAGTCTCCGCCCAGTACCTTTGTCACCTATGTAACTGGCACACCTGGGCAGTGACCTCCCCCTCCTCCAAGGTCACATCCTGGGCCACCCCTGGTCACATTTCCCATCCGACCAGAGGAGAATCCTAGGCCCTTAAGTCACATCCACACTAGTGTGGCCACACCTTCCCTCACCTGTCCATACCTTCTCCCCACCCCCTTTCCTACTTAACCCCAGGTCTGAACTCAGCCTGCCCCTTTCGGCCATGTGGTCTCCACCTTACATAATTAAACCTACCTACTTAAATACCTAAGGAGGGGCAGTCTTGAGCAGAAAAGTCAAACAAGAATGTGAGGCCCTGGGTTCAAGCTTTCCTCTGTGTGTGTGTGTGTGTGTGTGTGTGTGTGTGTGTGTGCGCACGCGCGCACATGCACACGCAAAAGTGCACAATTTCCTCTGGCCTCAGACTAAATGTACTAAGAACAGAAGGCCACAATGATTTGGTATGAGACATCTGCCTAAAACTCAATTTTTTTCTTCTGCATTGGCACTGGTCTTTCCCTCTCCAAGTTCAAATTCCTATCCACAAAACCAGCACAAAGAAAGAACAATGTATCATTCTTGGAGATGAAGAATAAAAGATGTACAGCCATATCCTGCTGCCTTGTTTATCCAGTTTACTATTACCCTGTCATCACAGATAAGCAGGAAATGATACCACATATCTTAAGAGACAATCTGGTATTGTGCTCTGCCTTAAAACAGAAGTTGATATTATGTTCATTTTACAAATGATGTAATACAAGTACTTGTCCAAACCTGTAAATTCATACATGGGACAGGAGAGCCCAGTTTTCCTACCTCCAAGTTGATTCTGAGCTTCTACCTCCTGGCCTGGTCCTTGTAGAAAGATATAAAGACTTATCACTAAAGATTGAAAATGAAAATTAACTGTCACAATGGAGTAGGGCCTGTGCCGTCCAAAAGAAAAAGGAAGAAAGCCGGGCACCCGTGGCTCAAGCCTATAATCCTAGCTACTCAGGAGGCTGAGATCTGAGGATAGTGGTTCAAAGCCAGCCCAAGTGGGAAAGTCCATGAGACTCTTACCTCCAATAAACCACCAGAAAACCAGAAGTGGCACAGTGGCTCAAGTGGTAGAGCACTAGCCTTGAACTGAAGAGCTGAAGGACAGAGTTCAAGCCCCATGACCAACAACAACAGCAACAGCAACAACAACAACAGCAAGACCAAGTGTGACCCATCAAACCCATGTCAAAATTACCCCTTGAGGGCTGGGAAGGTGGATTAGTGGCAGAGTGCTTGCCTACCATGCATGAAACCCTGGGTTCGATTCCTCAGTACCACATACACAGAAAAAGCCAGAAGTGGTGCTATGGCTCAAGTGGTAGAGCGCTAGCCTTGAGCAAAAAGAAGCTCAGGGACAGCACTCAGGCCCTGAGTTCAAGCCCCAGACTGGCTGGCACGCGCACATACACACACACACACACACACACACACACACACACACAAATTACCCCCTTGGTTCCCTGGACATGCTAGTCCTTGTAAGCCTTTGAAGCTGTCTCTGGGGCTGACATATAGCTCTGAGGAAGCCTGGAATGGCAGGAACAGTCTGGACAGCCTGGCATCCTTAAGAAAGCCCAGATCAGCACTTAACAACTGGGCCCCAAACAAATGGGGCTCACAGAGGGGAGTCTGTGCTTTTAAGAGAAGGGGTTTGGAGAGAACCCCTGGAGCCCCCCAGCCAACCACACTGACTCCTGGAGCTAAGTAAATGTTTTAGAAGACGGTAGTAGGTGCAGTCAGGAGAACATCCTTCTACCTTCTACCAAAGGATGGGAAGACCCCAGATGAAGCCTAGACACACCCTGGTCTAGAACAACTCAGTCCTAAACTACAGTCAGTCTGTCTATTTAGCCTGCATCTTTTGTATGTGCAGTCTTGACAGACCAGCAAGTATAGCTTTGAGACAACAGAGCGGGTCTGCTGTCTCTGCTCTCTTATTTAGGAAATGAGTTTGGGGCTCCAGATTTGCCAACCAGAACCAACCGCAGCCCACTAGACACCAGTGCCAAAGGCTGAGCTCTTCAAGAACAGCTATTTCTCGGGAAGAGTTCTGGAACTGGATGTGGGCACCCCAAGGAAATGACCTTCCTCATTATCCGAATTTCTTGGGGAGGCAGCTCTGCCACCAGCTGGGAGAGTTGTTTCTTTGTTTCAAGGGCTGCGATGTTGCTGGGGACTGGGAAAGTTTTGGATGGGGAGGCAAAATGGGAACAAGATGAGGGTTGAACTTGGTCTCCGGCAGGCTCTGAAAGGCAGCAGCGAAGTTTGCTAGGCCCCAGTGTGCACCACACTTTCTGGGCCTTAGTCTGGCCAAGCCCCGGGCTTTCTGCTGGCTTTTGGACTTCTGTTGCTTAATGAATAAACCTAGATCCCCAGGGAGGCCCAGGACAACTGGCGCCTTGGCTGGGGAACTTCAGCATTCTGCCGGAAGGAAGTGATCCGGGCGGAGGGGGGCAGCCCTCTGGGGCGGGGTCGGGGCTGACCGGCAGGGAAGGAGCTGCCCGCTGCCCGCGTCCCTGCCGCGTTCAGGCACGGGGTCCGGAGCGGGCCAGCCAGGGGCAGCTGGGAGCCGGCTGCTGACGGCCAGAATGGGCGCAACGCACGGGGTGCGGGGCCAGAGCAACGCGGCGCGGGGACGGGGGTGGGGGAGCTGGATCCGGAGGCGCGGGCCAAGAGGCCCCGCATCCCGGGGAATGGGGACCGGCACTCACCCCGAGAAGACAAACTTTGAGTTCCCGTATGGCCATCATGTGCTCCGGGCAGGGCCGTGCTGGGGCTCAGCAGCATCGTCCGGGCTGCACCGCGCCCGGCCTGCGTCCCGCCGTCTCCCCAAGATCGCGCCGGCCCAAGGCGGAACCGCCGTCTTGGCTATTTCTGGGCCGAGCCGGCTGCGCTGGGTCACGTGCCGCCCAGCTCCTCCCGGGCGGCGCGTGGGGTCCGGGCACAGCCGCCCCAAGGCCGCCCAGCAGCCACAGCTCAGCAGATCGCCTCCCCTTGGCCAGCTCAGAGCCTCCGCCCGCCCCCGGGACACGCCTGGGGCTGCGAGTCCTGGCGTGGGAGGCTCCATCCCTTCAGATACCACCTCTCATCCACAGAGTGGATGCTGGGCACGGAGCACTTGGGAAGCACTTGGGAATCTAGGGGAAACCCAACCATTAATGTCGTACACCGGTCAGGATGTCACCAGACCAGACCGAGGTGAGGTTTAATGAAGCTGCCTTTTAAATGTAGGAACTATTCACTTAGGGACCTTGACTTGGATCTCAGAATAAGAATTTCTAGACAAGTCACAATGGTAAGAAAACTTGGCAGAGCTTTATTAAGTAAACGAGCAGGCAAGCAGACAGACAAAAAGCAGACAAATACATATGAAAGGGCAGGGGCACACTCTTAACAGAGTGTGGATGCCCTCCTAGGGTGAGACACACTGTTCCTTGGGCTGTTGGAGTATTTATAGGATAAAGACAGGGGGTCTGGCTTCAAAGTTAGGTAAGGATAGGTGCTTTGCATTTGTTCTAATCACAACTGTTGTTAGTTCTTTCTTAGTTTCCAGGTAAAAATGCATCCTGCCAAAACAGATCCTTATCCTTGAGACAAGGAAGTGCCCTGCTCTTTGCATTTTGAGGCAGGAGGTGTCTTAAGTTTGGGGAAGCAATTTTCTCAGGAAGGCATACATCCTGTCAGACAAGTATTCATTCTTGGGGTGAGGAATGCATCTCTCAGGAAGGAATGCATCCTGTTGTCTCTCTTTGAAGCAAAGACAGCACTTCTATGTGTCTAAATACCATACTTCTGAGTTGCCTTCACCAGATCTCAGTTTCCTTAAGTTATCCTGCTTCATTTCCCCTAAAATGACTGTTCCCTTAATTGTAAGGGAAGAACATGATGGAATATCTCCTGCATTTACTGTTAGCTAACAGTACCTCATTTTCCCCTAGTGTATCCAGCTTCAAGGAGAAAACAGAGAAGACACATTTTATTTTTGTTGTTGTTGGTCATAGGGCCTGCGTGCTGTCCCTCAGCTCTTCAGTCCAAGGCTAGCACACTACCACTTGAGCTACAGCCCCACTTTTGGTTTTCTGGTGGTTAATTGGAGATAAGAGTCTCACAGACTTCCCTGCACAGTCTGGCTTTGAATCCTGATCCTCAGATCTCAGTGTTAGATTATTAGACTTTGCCAGAGAACCACGCAGACATCCAGGTACAGAGAACAAAGAAAGGTTTAGTGCTGGGAAAGGGGCTGGCAAGACCTCTGCTCACAAGGGAGAAGTGAGAAGCACCAGCTATTGTCTGGGGTGACCTATATAACCTAGGGGGTTTAGGAAGAGCTAGAAGGGGCTAGGAGGTGGAGACCCTGGTGTGGACGTGTGGGCCAGGGGCTTCATCATAGCAGACTAGGATTTATGGCTGCTGTCTAAATAGTAGATCAGGGGTCCTGCAGCTGCCCAGACCTGAAGGTCACTCTAAGGGGCTCTTGTTGCCTTATATGGTGGTAGCTGTCCCAGAGAAGTGGCATCCCAAGGTAGAGGGTGTTGGAAGTTGATTATTTGCTGCCTTTACTAAGTGGGCCTAGTGTTGCCTAGGAAGGGAGCATGTTAAGCTGTGGAGAGGGGAAGGAGTGGACTAAGCTATGGAAAGGGAGCTCATTTTGCTAACACTTAGCCTCCTGAGTAGCTAGGATTATAGATGTGAGCCACCAGTGCCTGGCAAAAGCCACATTTTGAGAGGTCGAATTTGGAGTCTTTACTAAAAGGCCAGTGACTTCAGATGAACTCTTGTCTCAAAGATCTGTAGCCAGCAAGTACACTTAACACTGTTAGGAAACTGAGCCATAAGGCCCGGAGAGGAAAGAAAGAATAAAACAATAACAACAAACCAATTCAGCTCCAATGGAAAGCTGAAGTGAGATGCCATGGCAACCAGAGAAGTGCCAGGAGACAGGACATGAGCAGACAAGGAGATGTGTGGCATAGTGTCTGAGCTGGTCTTGGCCTAAATAATGGGTGGGGGAGGGAGGGCGGGCCGGTGTTTTGGGGGCAGAGTCACAGGAAACTTGAATTCCAGGCACTGGACTTACAGGTTTAGTAGCCTATCATCCAAGTCCCTGCCCCTGCCTCAGGGATTCAAGCACACTCCCCACCTGGGAGGCAGGGGCTTCACCTTCCCCCACCAGGAAGACGAGTTACCAGATCCTATCATTCACCACGTGGCCAAGATGACCCAGGCCAGACCAGATCTCCCCACTTCATTAAGATTGTTATCAAGCCACTGAACAAACAGCCTGGATGGGTAAGGAGAGGCAAGGTATACCTGCAGTTGTCCTCCTGATATTGGGGCTTTAAATTATCTCCTATAGCTCCTCACTTTCATTCTTATATTCATTTTTCTATATGAAACTGGAGATGATTTCTGGAAATAGTAGACTGTTTTTACCTCCAATACTGGTCTGACAGGGCTTGAAAGGGAAATTCAATTGTCAGGGAGCTCCTTCCCTTGCTTATGGAAAGTCCAACAACTTGTGTGGTCATGGAATCCAGCCCTCAAAAATAAAGCTGGAGTCAGGAACTGATTGTAATCCTAGCTACTCAGGAGACTGAGAACTGAGGATCATTGTTCAAATCCATCTCTGGAAGGAAAGTTTGTGAGACTTTTTTTTTTTTTTTTGTCGGTCATGGGGCTTGAACTCATGGCCTGGGCGCTGTCCCTCAGCTCTTCAGCTCAAGGCTAGTGCTCTACCACTTGAGCCACAGTGTCACTTCCTTGTGAGACTTTGGAAGGGTCCCACACATTCATCCCAGGGGACCATGCAGAGGCAGGCAGGCACAGGAGAAAGATTATTACAAGCTTCATTAGAGGAGCCATATTTCCCCCAAGAGGGACCACATAGCCTCTGCCACCATCCAGGTAGCAAGAGAGCTCTGAGGGTTGGAAGTGAGGTGGATGGGAGACCAGGTGGATCTGGGTGGAGAGATGGAGAGGCCAGTTGTTCAGTGGGAACTCCAGGGATGGAAGGGGCTCAGGTCTGGGTGGAGCAGAGAACCAAAGGTGAGCATAATACTAACAACTCATCTACAATTAACCAGCAACAAGCCATAAGTGGAGGTAAGGCTCAATTGGTACAGTGCCAGACTGGAATGGAAATCTCAAAGGAGAGAAAATGCAAACCCTTGAATTCAAGCCCTGATCTTGGCACAAGAAGACAAGCCTCTCACTGGCTCCAGGAGGGGTAAGAGGGGGAGGGGAAAGACGGGGAGGAGAAAGGAGGAGGAGAGGAAGAGAAAGAAAGTGGAGCTCTTGACCTTTGGCAGCTTCTTTAAGAAATGAGGAGTCTGAGTCTTTTTTTGTTTGTTTGTTTTATTTTTGGGTCCGGTCGTGGGCCTGAACTCTGAGCCTGGGCGCTGCCCTTCAGCTCTTCAGCTCAAGGTTAGAGCTCTACCACTTGAGCCACAGCACCACTTGCAGCTTTTTTTTTTTTGCTTATGTGTGCTGAGGAATCGAACCCAGGGCCTCAAGCATGCAAGGCAAGTACTTTACCACTGAGCCACCTTCCCAGCCGGAGGAGTCTGAGTCTTATAGAAGGATCATGCTCTTTTCTCTCTGTGTTTGGCCTGGGGTGCTTCATCCACTCAAATAGCTTCATTGGTGGCTGTTACAACATTGTTAGCCTTTGGATAGAATCTGAATCATTTGTTGATATTTCAGATTGGAAACTTTGTTTTGTTTTTGTGCAGGTACCTGGGCTTGAACTCTGGGCCTGAAGGCTGTCTTTAGTTTTTTTTACTCAGGGCTAGTGTTCCACCACTTGAGCCACAGCTTTGAGGCAGGAGGAAAAGGAGGCCTGATGAAGGCAACTCAGAAACATGGTAATTAGAAACATAGAAACACCATCTATGTTTCAAAGAAAAGCATCAGGATGGGGCTGGGAAGGTGGCTCAGTGGTAGAGCACTTGCCTTGCATGCTCGAGGCCCTGGGTTCGATTCCTCAGCACCACATAAGCAAAAAGAAAAAAGCTGGAAGTGGCGCCGTGGCTCAAGCAGTAGAAAAAGCTGGAAGTGGCGCTGTGGCTCAAGCAGTAGAGCGCTAGCCTTGAGCTGAAGAGCTGAGGGACAGTGCCCAGGCCCAGAGTTCAGGCCCCACAACTGGACAAAAAAAAAAAAAAGAAAAGCAACAGGATACATTCCTTCCTGAGAGATGCATGTCTCACCTCAAGAATTGATATTTGTTTGGTAGGATATATGCTATCTGAGAGAAATGCTCCCCCAAAACATAAACAATCACCTACCAAAAATGTAGACAACAGGACACCTTCCTTATCTTAAGGAGAACCATCTGGATGCCTTCCTTATTTCTAGGTTAAGTATCTGTTTTATGGCTGGATGCATTCTTACCTGGAAGAAATGCCCAAAACACCCAAGAACATTAGGAAAGATCAGAGCAAAGATAAAATATCTATCTTTGCATAATTTTGAAATCAGACTGCTTGCCTTTACCATATAAATACCCCTGACAGCCAAAGAGCTGAGAATCTCTCCCTTTGAAGCACCCACACTCTGTTAGTGTGCCCCTGCTTTTCTGCTTGTCTGTCTGCTTTTTATCTGCTTGCCTGCTTGTTCACTTACTCAATAAAGCTCTGCCAAGTTCTCTTGCCATTATGATTTGTCCAGAAAGTCTTATTCTGTGATGAAAATCAAGGACCCTAAGTGAAGTGACATCTGCATCTGGTGACAGTTTCCCACTTCCAGCTGATTGCTGGCTAGAGCTAAGCCTGGACTTTCCTGCCCCAGATGGCTTTGAACTTTCTCAGCTTCCTGAGTAGTTAGGATTATAGGTGAGTCATTGGCATCCACCTTGTTGTTTTTGAAAGTCTAGGTTTAACAAATTTCATTCACCATCTCTAACTCTAAGGCTT